TCTCTCCTATCTTTTCTTATTTAAGTTGTATGCTCAACATATTATCAATACAGAAGTATTTTTTTTCTCTCCCTCTTCATTTCTTCTTCTCTTCCTCTTTATTTTTCCACATGGCATCAGAGCTTTAGGGTCCGATCATGAATTTTAAGGCCGCCATGGTTGGCTCCGGTTCAGCCTCTTTGGATGCTACCAGTGGTGTGACATCTTTGGAGGGAGGTATTCAGTCAGCGGCCATCTCTCTCTCTGAGAATTCTCTTCAAATTACCATTCACAAATTGAATGGAAAGAATTATCTTGAGTGGTCTTAGTCCGTGCGGTTGGTGATTGACGGCAAAGAGAAACTCGGCTATTTGAATGGCGAAGTAAAACCGCCAGCCACTGATGATCCAAAGTACAGGCAGTTTGATCAACTCTATGGATCTTTGGTTGGAAAACCATTCATGTTCCTACCGACTGCTCTTGATGTGTGGGAAGATGTTAGGGAAACCTATTCAGATCTGGACAATCATTCACAACTGTTCGAACTGAATACCCGAATGTGGAAGATGCAGCAATGTAAGCGTGACGTAACTGCTTATCATAATGAGATGATGGCTGTTTGGCAGGAGCTGGATTTATTTGAAGAAGAAGAAGAATGGGAAAGTCTGAGTGACGGTGCTCGGTACCAAAAGAAGATAGAAAGAGGTCGGGTCTTTGTCTTCTTGGCTGGTTTGAATAAAGAACTCGATGAGGTTCGGGGACGTATCTTAGGGCGAAAGCCCTTGCCTACTATAAGAGAAGTTTTTCTAGAAGTGCGTAGAGAAGAAGCATGGCGGCAAGTGATGTTGAAGAATGTTAATGAAACAAAAACTAAGAATGAAGGGTCTGCTCTTGTGGCCCGAGGTGCARACGTAGACGGAGATAAACGAGGAAAGCAAAGACCTTGGTGTGATCATTGTAAAAAGCCATGGCATACTCGGGAAACCTGTTGGAAGATGCACGGGAAACTAGCAGATTGGAAGAAAAAATCAAACAGTGACAACAAGTCAGGGGGAGATGTCCGCGCGCTTCAAGTAAGCAATTCGGAGCCAGGGCAGCAATCATCCTCGGAGTCTCTTCCTTTCACAAAAGAACAAATAGAGCACTTATATAAAATGTTTCAATCTCAATCGTTAAGAAACTCTAACCCATCCTGCTCTCTAGCCCAGTCAAGTAATTTTATCACTGCAGCCATTGCTTGTACCAAATCTAATGGCTCTTGGATATTAGATTCAGGTGCCACTGATCATATGACCGGCACTTCACAATTCTTCTCTTCATATAAACCTTGTGCAGAGAATCAAAAGGTTAAAATTGCAGATGGTTCCTTTGCTACTGTTGCTGGGAAAGGAACTGTGTCTATTTCTCCTTCTCTAAATCGATGTTCTACATGTTCCTAACCTATCATACAATCTCTTATCTGTCAGCAAAATAACCCTTGATCATAAATGTCAGATTAATTTTTGGTCTTCTTGTTGTGAATTACAGGATTTAACCTCGGGGAAGATGATTGGGGGTGCTAAACTGGATGGTGGCCTCTACCTCTTTAATAAAGGATCAACCTTTGGAAGG